GACTGTGGTAAGTAAATTCTTAGAGATCTCGAATCCCATTTAGAGCTAGCACGCCGTTTCTAGCGGCTTTATTTTAGGTGCAGAAACTCAAGGTCAGTATTTACACTCAATGAGGACTTAATCTGAGCGTCGTCTTTTTCAGCTACTTGCGTGCAATCAAATGCAGTGTTAATCTACTTAGTTTTTTTTTGTAACCATCAAATTGAAAAGCGTTTTTCAAAAGATTTTAAGAGCTTCCCGTAATGTGCCCCTTGTAAAAGAAGCTAAGTTTGCAAAAACTTTTGTGTGCCTACAGTCGCGGCTAGCTTGTTTGAGCGTTCCAACGTGCGAAACTACCCTGCACGTTTCGGTGTCTCAGCGACGCACTTTTGTAATGCCGCCAAAACGTTTTTAACACAAGAAACGGCAAAGGATGTACTTTAAAATAGTGTTTGTTTCATGTTGAAATTCCATGTATCAATTGTTTTTTTCAATGGTGAAGTTAGGTCAAATTTGTCATTTTTGAAAAGAGCCGAAATCGTGTTTCTTCTTGCGGCCGACACAGCCACATTTAAGCAGCTTATCTAAAGATAATTGCTGAATTATAAAGCACAAGTCTGTGTCTGCTTTGTGACTTGATTTCATTTAGAGATATCATCACGTTTTTATGTACGAGCGCGAAGAAAATGCTTAATTTTCGCTAATTTCATACTCGAAAGAGCGCCGATTTAGCGTTTTTCAAACTTTGCCCGATTCAGGAAAAAATAAAAAGCCGTTACAAGTTTTAATGTGATTTTTGAAATAAGTGTACTATAGAGATCATTTGGGCAAAATATGAAGAAATTCAAAAATTCACGACTGTCAACCGATTCTCGAAAATTACAGACATTGGCTCTTAAAATGATATTTTTCCTCATAATTTTTTAGAATTGCAATGGACGGTCATTCCAAATGTGAAGTGTTAGAAATATTTAACATAAATTACCAAAATGTTTTTGCTCGATTTCTTTTCTTAAACAGGCCACCAATTGCTCAATAAATTTAATTAATTTTTAAAATGGTCACGTGACATGCCAAGTGACCTATCAGCACAATATTTATTCTTTAAAATGTTAAGGACAATGAGTTTTTTTATGTGTGCCAAATTTATAGTAGTAACGTCTTTAATTTTAATTATCTTATCATTGTATGTAATACCCTGAAAAAGGAAGAAATATTCATTTGGTAAAGGAAATGTATATTCCCGACTGTAAAATCAGCCTTGCTGATTGTGTTTCTATATTTCCAATTATAGCCGGTGATTAGATCCTTTATTACGATCCGGTCCTTCCTTTTTGTAAGTTGGTCCTTGCTTCCAAGATCGAAAGTTCTTAGCCACTCCCCATCTGAGAGAGAAATGTAGAATGCTGTTCGCCTCTATCAACTTGACAGTTCAGTGAAAAAGTTTCCTAGTGTCCCGTCTCGCAAGTAGGTGCAAGTGGGTCTTTTTTTTCTGCGGTGGCCTTTGTATTGTTTCTTACTGGTGAAACAAGTAGAGAACATACTAGATTCCCCTGCAATCTGATTTAATTCCCAGCTGCCATAACACAAGACAAACAAGATGGCGGGCACAACGCACTTGCCACCTGTCCGGATGATACTTCGTGTAAGGTAGCCTGAGGCATACTCGTTACAGCTAGCATGTCTTTTGAAGACATTTACTTTTTTTTCATAAACTAAGTTCAATTTCGGCACAAAATTTCTCTTTAGAGTAAATCCCAAATTCCCAAACGGTCTCTTCTACTATAAGGACGTGTCGGTATATGAAAGTGGAGGACTCCCGGTTGGCGAAGTAGCCCTCTCGGGAGGGCTACAAAAAAAACCTTACGCTTACATCTTGCAGCCCCGCCATCCCGGGGTGAAATTTCTCAAGATTACTGACTCGTCGTTAAGCACAAAAAATTATGGGCAAAACGACGTGTTTTGGCTGTTAATGCTCTTCTGTTTTTTTTTTTGCCAGATATATACCTGTGTGAAACTGGCTTCATTTACCGCTGTTATCGCTCCGTCTTTGCCAGTGTTCAAGTCCACAGCCAAAACCTCTCTGTCAACACTTACTTCCTTATTATGCCATCGATTGTCACGATTACTGTATGCTATTGGCAATTAACCGATAAGATAATGATGCTCTCATTTGTTGTTCTTGCAGCACCATTTTAGTACCGTAGCTTTCTACATATTGTCCCCTGACTTCAAATGATGTCAAGCCTCCGCCAAAGGCAGTTAGTCATGGTTGTTCACGAATTTAATGTAACACAAATCCGATCCCGGCCCCAAACTTTTACATCGCAAAATGTCAGCGGGGCTGACAGAATTGCCCGGTCTGGCAGACTGGGCAACCCGCCTCGAAAGGTCATCCCACCTGTCATCATTCTAAACGTTATTAAATTAAAATGAGAGATTTTATATACAGTTGGGTTACCTAACCTGAGTGGGCTATCGCACTCACCTGGGGTTCCCCACCTCCATGTAAACAGGGGCCCATTTCTCAAAAGCCCCGGTAACTTTTTCGGGTCCAAAATCAAATATTCAAATCGAAATTAAAAAAAGATAAGAGCATGGGTCCTGGCTAGCAAGCTACTTCATTTTGTTTCATTAACTGTTGGTTTTATCGTGTTACACAAAACGGTTAAAACGGGAACGATAAAATCCGACGTTTCGGAGTAGTCATGACTCCATTATCAAGGAATAATGTTTCTGATCATGCAAATTATAGCATTTAAAGCGATGTGGCGCTTAAATTAACATAACGAGGTGCGAAGATTCTGAAAATACTTTCGCACGAATAGAGTCTGATTGCACGTTGAGATTTGGCTTTAAGGTTCTTATGAAAAACATTTTGTAAACTAAACAGTCAAATTTGTTCCTTTTTTTAAGCACTTCGAAACGTTTCAGCAGGTCCTGAGGGATCGTTCCATGCACGTGCTTGTAATGTTTGGCAATGGCGGAGGACTGTTGTTTATGTCCTTGTACACGATTGTGTAAATGTCTGCGTGTCTAACCTACATAGCCTGCATCACACAGGTCACATTGGAAGTTATAAACTACACACTGTTCATTTACGATCGGTGGCTTTTCTTCTTTCACATTCAGTTCTTGTTCAATTTTTCGGCAAACACAGGCTGGATGGTGGTGTTTACTTTTAGGCTCAGATCCTTGAGTTGTTCTTTCACAATATCTGCTGAGATTTGGTTTTTAAATGGTAAAACCACTCGAACCGTGTCATCCGTCTCTTTAGCTGGTGATAAAGGTCGCTGCTGGTGGTAGAGTTAACGAGGTGTTTGGGGTACTTTAATCGGTTACATTCGTCTGAGAAGTGTGACCAACAAGAAGATAAACGATATGCTCGATCCAGCATGGTTCTCAGAAAACCCTTTTTGTACCGATTGTCAACATGACTCTAATAGTGTAAGAGTAGACTTGAATTCGGGGGTTTTACGTAAACTTTGTCTCTATTTGAGGCAATCGATTCAGTAACAGGATGCCCAGAAATGGGAGCATACCATTGCATACGGTTTCCATCGTGAATTTTACGGAGGAATGTGCCTTGTTAAGCGTGTCCAGGAAGTTACTAAATAGATGCAGTTTCTATTTTCGGCACGTTTGTGAGCGTATCATCAACATACCTTCAATAGAAGGAAGGGAGTTTACCCTCTCGCTCAAGGTTGTCTTCGATTGAAGACATGAACACGTTAGCTAGAAAGGGACCAAGTGGAAGACCCATGGCCACGCCATAAGTTTGTTCGTACAGGACTCCATTGAACTGGAACAGTTGTCCTTTTGTAGCTACACTGAGAAGGTCCGTTTTGGTCAGGTTCAAGTGGTGCGTTAAATTAAACCAATTGTTGGTGAAAGCTCTGTCCTCGAGTATCTCTATCGTCCAAAAAAATATCATCTAAAGGTACGTTAGTAAACAGGGAAGACACATCGTACGAAGCCAGAATTTCACCGTTTGCAATTTTCAATTCATGAAGTTCGTTCGCAAATTCAAAAATGTCAGTTCCTGTGTAACGATTCAAAGACAGAGGCTTAGTTTAACGTCGAGCAATTTCGCCAAAGTGTATTTGTATGTTTGCGTTGCTGATAAGTATAGGCTGCATCTTGATAGATGCAAAACTATTGAAACCTTTATCTTGCTAGAAGCAACAACAGCTTTACGGGTCCGTTCATTATCGGGACTTTAGAGAAACGGGTCCCAGGCCCTAAACATGTAAACACCAAACACCAACGCTAAGGTTTTCTTGTATTTTCAAGAGTTCTTACTTTAACATTTTGTCAAAAAACGAGTTGAGGTTTAGGTGCCGCTTTGTTTTTACCTCATGCTTTCCTTATTGTGCGGTGAATATAACGTGATAGCTCAACCTGGATTGGTTTTTCCGGTGTAGGGCATGTGATGATATTCTAGAGAACCGTGTCTTTCAAATTTTGTGTTATTCTTTTGCACATAATTTACGAAAAGACAAGGGAAAACCCGTATGGGGCTTTCATTGTGAAGAAAAACATACAATCTCAAAAGCCAGAATATTGTATACAGTTATCTACAATATCAAAATTATTCTATTTTTGGTCCTTATTTTTTTAGTTGATCGAATATGGACAATAATAATCTCTCACTTTGTAAACCCTCTTTTCAAAACTCTTAAAAATACTTGAACTTGTGCGACTGACCTGCCTCGATTAGCTTAGTTACCTGTGGGTCAGTACAATTTTTGTAGATGTTTTCGTAATATATAAACGTGACAACGTTCTCTCTCGCTAAAATTCGCTTGCGATACAAGCACGAATACCTCCATTCATTACCTTTATTAACGCTTATCAATTAAAATTGTCGCGTTTTCAGTTTCAGGTCTTTTGACTTTGACAAGACATCAAATGAACATCGCCTTGGACCAAGGAGTATCGCTAGAAGACGAAGGGATGTCTCGTATCACATACTTACAGCCTACGAGAAAGCTTTCGAGAAATTCGGTTTCTTTCTAGCTAGGCAAAGGCCCTTGCACCTCTTCTTCGTTTTACTAGTAATTTTTGCTGCAAGCTGTTTAGGTTTCATTCGGATAAACGTTAAGCCGCCTTCCACGAAACAATTTATTGTGACTGACGGCCAATCTAGAGTGGACTTAAAAGATGCAGCACAATTCTTTCCTCTTCTTGATTCACGTCAGGAACAGGTTATAGTGACTTCTAAACGTAATAGAAACGTTCTAAACGAGGAATACTTGAAAGAAGCTTTTCTTGTGCACCAGGGTATATTGAACATTAGTGATTACCGAAGTTTGTGCGTCAGACGGCCTCCGTCAAATTACGACACTAGAGCAACCGACGCACAAGACTGCATCGTCAGCAGTCCTTTGGAGTTAGCTGGTCCTAACTTCGAACATTTAAGAAACTTTTCTTCAATTCTGGCTCGTGAGTGGAATAATCCCAGGACGATACTTTCAGATGGTCAGTCATTGAAAACCTCTCACGTCCAGATACTTGGTAATTTTAAAGTCAATAATGAAGCAGATCCGCCAACTTCCCAGGCTGAAGCTCTTCGAATTACCTATTTCATTAAAAATCCAACAAGTGAAGATGAGAAGCAGAAAGTAAAAAGCTTTGAAACCACCTTTGAGAGCCACATCTCGTCATTAAGAGATAGATTGAAATGCTCATCGTTCTTTTACAAGAGTGGAAGAGTAACCGATGATGCTTTGCAACAAATCTTGAAAGTAGATATATTGGCGCTTTCTTTGTCAATATTAGTAGTTCTATTTCTTTCACTTGTTGTCATTTACTTTGTTTTCAGCAACTTGAGCTGTTTAACAACTGCTTTATTCATTTTCTCAACTGCCTTGTTACCCTATATATGTACAGCAGGCATTGTTTCCATGGCAGGCGTTTCCTTACTCCCAACAACCATCTTCATTCCATTTCTTCTGTTGGGAAAATCAACATCAGACGTCGCTCTCTTCTTGGGAGAGTGGAGACGACAGAACATTGTACCGTCGCTTGAACATAGAGTAACCAGCTGCATTGCAAGAGTGGGAACTGTCCAACTCTTTTCAGCGTTTTTTGCAACCATTCTCCTAGGAATTACAATCAAATCTTCCTTTGAGGTTATATTCAATTTCTTTCTCGTGACAGTGGCAGGTTTTGCCCTTGCTTTCGTTGCGTCATTTATAATAGTTCCCACTTTAACAAGTTTACTCGAAAGGGAGTCAAAGCCGATAAATTCGTTTTGCATGAATCCCAGTACCGAGTTTAGCCGCTTATTGCAGGAACAAAGAAAGGTAGTAAATAAAGCAATTGGAAACGTTATTAAGAACTTGCCTTGTTGGGTTACTTCACTTGGTGGGAAAGTTCTTTCTCTCTTTGTCTTGATATTCTTCATCAGTTTCTGTGTCTTCTCTGCTCTGCACTCAAGTGAAAGAATAAGTGCCACAGAAAACCTTTATCGAGAAAATGTTAACTTCAACGAGTTTACTGAAGCACAACAAACGTTTTTTGGCAAACAAACGGATGTAAGTGTCGTATTTTCCCAGGAAATTGATTACTCACAGAAGATTAACCAAGAAAAAATGCTCCAGATCTGTGGAACTCTTGGAAAGGCTCCTTACAGTCAAGAAAGACCAGTGTGTTGGATGGCTGCCTTGTTAAACAATAAAAATTCGAGCTGCACGAATTCAAAATTTCGCGAGTGCCTTCACAGATTTCTTAATCAATCTGAAAATCTACCTTATCGACAAGATGTGCGTCCTAACGAGAATAATGTCCGTTTTCCAATCTCTGCGTCTCGATATCACGTGAAGATGGCGCTACAGAAGAGCGTAAGTAAAAACGCAGGTTCGTTCGAGAAACTGAGAGAAGACTTACGGTTTTCCTTGAAGCCTAAAGCAGTGTCGAAGACACTGTTAGAGTTTGAAGACCTTCTCTCTTTGGAAAGAGAAACTTTTCTTTCTCTTATCATTGCTACAGTGGTGGCATTTGGGACTTGTCTGATGTCTAGTTCAAGTCTTAGGTTAAGCATCTATTCAGCGCTATTATTTGACTTACTTGTGTTAGAGACAGCAGCAGTTATGGAAATGTGGTCAATTCAGCTTAATCAGCTAGTCTTCATTTCCCTGTATTTAACAGTTGTCTTAGCACACAACCACAGCGTTCAAGTGGCTCATTCATTCATTTTCTCAGACAAACAAATGGTTAGGGAGCGCATGAATAAGGCTTTGGAATCGGTTGGTTTGCCTGTGGTTATGGCAGGCTTTCTAGAGGTCTCAGGTTCCGTTTCGTTGGGATTTATTTACCCAAGCCTGCAGGACATCTTCTTTCGACTCATTCCTGTCGTGTTTGCTTTGGGACTGATCCATGCTTTGGTAATCCTGCCACCAACAGTCACATTATTTTTCGAGTTGATGGACAGCTTTAACTTCCAAAATATGCTACCTAACCAAACGAACCAGGAAAGGAGGAAAATGTCTATGCAAATTCGACATCGTTATGCGCCACAGGCGATATCTAAGCGCCCTGCAATATCCGTTGTCGGTATCAGCTGCAGATTTCCTGGAGCAAGCAGTAAAGAGATGTTTTGGAATTTACTTGAGACAGGAAAAAGTTCCATTCGAGACTTTCCACCACAAAGAAAAGAGCAACATCAAACGTTTTTCCGACTTTACCATCACAAGCGCTTTGTCAGTGGACGTCACTGTGCTATCAGGGGCTCTTACTTGGAAGACATTCTATCTTTTGACAACACGTTCTTCGGTATCTCCAATCAAGAGGCTCGTGCAATGGATCCCCAGCAACGCATTCTTTTGGAAGTGGTGTATGAGGCCATTGAAGACGCCGGAATGCGGCTTGAGGATCTTCAAAGATGTAAGACAGGGGTCTTTCTGGGTGTAATGAACCTGGAATATGGGACTTTGATAACAGATGCATCAAATTATAACAATATCGACCAGTTTTCATCAACAGGTATCACAGCATCAATATTAGCAAACAGAATCTCATTTTGCCTCAACCTCACAGGTCCAAGTTTTGCGGTTGATACCGCATGTTCGTCTTCTTTGACAGCACTCAAACTTGCTTGTGATAACCTGCATAATGGCGATTGTGACATAGCAATAGTTTGTGCACCTAACATTGTCCTTAGCCATACCATGCAAATGTTATCCAGCATGGCTGGTCTTTTAGCGCCCGACGGGCGCTGTAAGAGCTTTGATGCATCTGGCGACGGTTATGGAAGAGGAGAAGGCTTTGCAGCAGTCGTTCTCAAGCTCTCAGATGCAGCTTTGAATGATAAGGATGATGAATATTGCGCAATTATTGCATGTGGTATGAACAATGATGGTCAAAATGCTGTACCAATGACAGCGCCAAGTTCAAAGACCCAGGCTGAACTATTCAGGATGGTTCTTGAGCAATCATGTTTAAATCCAGAAGACGTAGATTACCTAGAGGCCCATGGCACAGGTACTGCCATCGGTGATGTTATAGAAGTCACGTCAATCGCCGACGTCTATTCAAGAGGAACCTCTCGACACCTTAAAATCGGATCTGTCAAGTCAAACCTCAATCATACAGAATCTACGTCGGGTCTGGCTGGACTAATAAAAGTTGCGTTGATGATCAAAAACAACAAATTAGTGCCAACTGTTAATGTGCAAGTATTGAATCCAAAATTGAAATTGAAAGATAAAGGAATTGTGGTGCAGGAAAAATGTGAGTCTTGGGACACACAAGGTGGAAAACCACGAATAGGTGCCGTAAACTCTTTTGGTTATGGTGGATCAAACGTGCACGTAATCCTTCGAGAAGTTACACGACAGCCAAGCTTCAAAGATAATGATGGAAAAAGTAGGCGGTCACATCATATCCTCACCCTTTCTGCACGTTCTCAAGAGGCTCTCAAGCGAATGTCAAGATTCTACTCTCAGTGGTTGGAAGATGAAGGGGAGGATAATGCAACATTTTTGGAAAACTTGTGCTACTCATTGAAGGAACGTCGCGCTCAGTTTTCCCACCGCTTAGCATTTCCCTTCGAAGCTTTACCCGAGGCATCTAAGGTTTTAAAGGACTACGCCAATGAATCACTGGGATTGGAACAGAAAGCTGTCTATGGAGAGATAAAGAGAACTGATTCAAAGATCGTCTTCTTATTTGGAGGGCAAGGCTCCCAATGGTATGCTATGGGAAGACAGCTAATTGAGATGGAACCTGTCTTCAAAGGTGCTATTTTGACTGTTAACAATGTAATGAAAGATCTGGGAATATCATTATCAATTATAGATGAGATCATGGCATCAGAGGAAGAATCAAGGATTGCAGAAAATTCCATCGCCCAGCCGGCTACGTTTGCAATACAGTACGCCACTGCAAAGCTTCTGATATCTTGGAGAATCTTTCCTTCCGCTGTACTTGGTCACAGTATTGGAGAGATTGCTGCAGCATGCGTCGCTGGGATCCTAACGCTAAAGGAAGCCATTAACCTGGTGTTAGCTCGCTCCTCTCTACAAGATCAGTGTCCCAAAAACGGTAGCATGGCGGCTTTAGGTTTGTCCGAAGAATGCGCCAGTGTACTACTAGATGAGTTGAAGCTAACTCCTACTCTTTGCATTGCCGCAATAAACGGTTCAGATAGTGTGACAGTATCCGGTGATCGTCAATCAGTTGAAACCTTGGGTCAGCACATTGCGATACACGAAAAGGCCACTTTCTGGCGTGTTCTTGGAACAAAACGTGCATTCCACAGCTCACACATGGAATTCATTAAAAGACCATTCCAAGCAGCACTAAAGCGTATTTCGTTATATCCCAAGCTGTCCAAGATTCCAATGTATTCTACGGTTGTGGGAGAAGTCCTTTGTGGTCGAGAGTTTAACAACGAGTACTGGTGGCGTAACATTCGCTGTCCAGTTCAGTTTTACTCAGCAATAAAACATCTGCTCAAAGATGGTTACAGACAGATCATCGAAATAAGCACCCAGCCAATTTTAGCACATTATGTGAAAAAGATTGCCCTGCAAGAAAACTTGGAAGACCAAGCAAGGCCAATCCTTATGGAGACCCTTCCTCGTAAGAGAGTACCTGTAAACGAGCAGTGCAAGTCTTTTCTTCTAAACACAGTGTGCAAACTGTATACACTTGGTTTTCCTATAGATTGGAATTGTGTGCAGACAATTCCTTCAGCAAAGTTTGTACGCTCGTTAACCTATCCATGGCATAAAAACACCTTTTGGTACAGAGAAAGTCCACCCCAAACCGTCATCAAACCAATTGATGCGGCATCAAGATCAGAAACGAAAGGTCACCCATTTTTGGAAAAAGTGAAGCAAACAAGTCTGTGTTCAGGCCTCCAGTGCTGGGAAACTGAGATTGACCTCCATCGCTTTCCTTTTCTTAAAGATCACGCTATTATTCAGGGGGCGACCGTGATGCCAGGTGCTACGTACCTCGAAATGGTCTTTGCCATGGCGATGGACCAATTTGTCCATGTTGCTGGCCTTGAACTCAATGATGTAAAACTCTCCAACCTCCTGACACTGCCTGAATCACAGGTAACTTTACTATACGATTTTTGGTGTGATTTCTTCCATATATAGCCTTTTGAAGTAATTTAGGGAAGTGTTAAACAGAAGCCGCAGCTCCATCCATCTTCATTAATGGTTAAACTACACTTTAACTGTTGTAGGTTCGATTGTTACGACTGCGCCTCCAGAAGACTAAAAGGATTTGCGAGGCCGATTTCAACATAACAAACGTACAGGATGATCACTCAGAGATCGTCCTAAGCAGTGGACAAATCTGTCTTGATCTTCTGCAGACACAAAAGACAGGTAGCCACAAAGGTAATCTTCATACATTTGTTGGACTTTCTTTTACATCAAGTCAATGTTGTAAAAAGCTCCTAAAACTGAAGATAAAGAAACAGTCACACAAGAGTTTTGCGCAGAACCTAAGCAGAAACTTGTCTTCTATACTTCTTTCGCGCCATTGGTACGTTTTAATGAATTTTATATTGGTATTAGCCATTCATTCTGTAGCTTGTCTGTTACAGGGGCGTAGCTAGCGTTTCGGCTAGTTGTAGGCCTGCCTTACTTTCACTTCCACATATCCCGAAAATTGCACGCATAACTAGTACGTGCTGACTTCAACAACACTTTGAGATCCTAAGCTTTTTAGCTCACCCCAACAACGCGTAATTTAATACAAGCGGTAGAGGGATCAAAAAAAATTTTAGGCCCGGGCCGCCACGTCCATGGGCTGGCTACGCCCGTGTGTCATTACATAGTTTTTTACTATTATTATTATTACTGCATAATATAGATAGTCGTATAAACATAACAACTTTCTTTAATTTCCAGACATGTTTCGACGGTACATCCGTCATCTTCAGCCTTACATATTTTGAAATCGCCGTTGAATTTAAAGCGCGCGCGATGTTACAAAGTTCGTGACATTGCGTTGTCAATATTGCGTACTAAAACAAAAAAAAAACATTAAATGAGTGACGCTTAGTTCTTTACAGGGAGAGAGTCAGGTTAATGTGTTTCACCTGCTGGTTGAGATCGGGCTTCTCCCATTTTATAAACATGGATTTCTTAAGCTTCGCTTGGTACTTAGTGGCTGCAGAGTCCAGGATCTCGAAGCAATCCGGTGTGCAGAATGCTCTACAAAACTCTGAACTCTGCATATGTTTAAAAACGTTCGAAGACCTGTCTGAAAGTAAGTGCTCGCGCACTCGTGTGGAGAAGTGTCGGCTGGTTTCACCAACATAACAAGCATTACAACTTGCACACGAAAATTTATAGTCCACACGCGTGCGTAGCCCCTCAGGGACAGCATCTTTCACATTAAAAAGATTCCTGACTTTGAAAGTAGTAAAGACTAACCTTAAATCAATAGGTTTACATAACCGGTTAGCAAGTTTGCGATTAAAAACGTTCGAAGACCTGTCTGAAAGTAAGTGCTCGCGCACTCGTGTGGAGAATTGTCGGCTGGTTTCACCAACATAACAAGCATTACAACTTGCACACGAAAATTTATAGACCACACGCGTGCGTAGCCCCTCAGGGACAGCATCTTTCACATTAAAATGATTCCTGACTTTGAAAGTAGTAAAGACTAACCTTAAATCAATAGGTTTACATAACCGATTAGCAAGTTCGCGTATACTCCTCTGTACCGTCGAAACGTGTCTGGAAAATTAAAGAAAGTTGTTATGTTTATACGGCTATCTATATTGTTGCTGCTATCTAGACCTACTGCATAATAATAATTGTTTATGATATATATTATCAGCATCTAACATGGCTGGGCCAGTAGTGAATGAGATTCTGACAAGAATGGAGCGAATGCCGAATGAACGGTTCCGAAGAATAACGGAGAAGTTTGGATTCAACTACGGCCCTTCGTTCTCCATCATCAAAGAGATATGGAAATGTGATAGGGAGGCGCTATGCCTGATAGACATCGCAGAGGCACACACCATCCAAGATCAAAGTGAAAGTTATATTGTTCATCCGTCTATTTTAGATGCTTGCCTTCAGTCCTGCTTTGTTACCCTGGGAACCTCGTCGATGGATGATAAATCTATTGTGCCAGTTGGTTTCAGGCATATTGCACTCAATGACTCACCATCAACCAGCCAGTTATATTGCCACGTGACTGCGGATCTTTCCGAGTTCGGACGATTTAATGTGACACTTATGAGTCCAAGTGGCTATGTTTTTCTCTCCATGACTGATTTCCGAGTTGCAGAGTTAACAAGTTCACCGCGTCAAGCTCCTTTTGTAGACCTTGCCTACGACGTCAGGTGGAGTGAAGTTGAGTTAACAAGACAGGAAGAGAGTGCCCCACCTCTGACTTGTATGGTGCTCTCAGACTCCTCTGATTTTTCAGATCATTTGCTCTCTTTACTTAAAGCTCGGGAAGTCAAAGTTATCTCCGTTAGTTCTCCAGTTGGTCGATGTTTTGAATCCGAAGTTCAAGACATTTTAAAAACCGCCTTTGCAGAAATACAGACGATTAATTCCTCTCTGTTGAGGGTTATCAATCTCTGGCCTTTGGATACATCCCTTCTACCCGACCATTTTGAAGTCATTGAGCAAGCTCAACAACTAACCTTTAGCAGCTCTGTTTTCCTACTTAAGTTGTTGATTGAAAAAGAGTTCATGGATTCTCGGCTGTTTCTCGTCACCGAGCTAACACAGCTTTTGGACATCTGTGACAATTCTAGTAACGGTATGTCCATTCCATGGGGTGCTACAGTCTGGGGACTAAGACGAACAGCGAACCTTGAAGAATTTAACATAAGGGTTACCACCATTGACCTTTGTGATAAAGAAGATAAACGGGAACTGGACTCCTTAGTAGATGAAGTTTTAGGTGACAGCGTGGAGGACGAGGTGGCCTTTCGAGATAGACGACGATTTATAAATCGCCTTGTCAGGTCAGAATTACAACAGGACACCTCTAAAACAGTTAAAAGAAAAGAGAGGAAGAATGAGGGACTACTATATCTTTCAAAAGTTCCTTTCTCAAAATCGCTTTGCCTTCGCGAGAAATGTATCCCAAAAACAACGCAATCTGAAGTCATTGTAGAAGTTTGCTATTGTTGGACGCCCTCAGAATCACTCTTTGATGTGTCTAAACCAAATGGATGTGTCTTCGTGAGTGGAAAAGTCTCTGATCTCCCTGTAAATGGCAAGAGTACTTTGCAAATTGGAGACAATGTGTGTGGTGTCATTCCCTCTGGTCGTGTTGCACGTTTCATTTCAATACACGTCAGTAACGTGTTTTTGAAACCTTCCAACCTGACAATAAAGCAAACTACTTACCTTCCAGCATGCTTGGCGTTGGCATATCATGCTCTACAAAAAGCGGCGTCCGGCACCGAAAGGCAAAAGATTTTAATAAATGAAGCCAATCGTGGGGCCGGACCAGCAGCAGTACTTCTGGGAAAAACACTGGGTCACAGAGTGTCCTGCACAATCTCCGACACTTGCAGCCAATCCACCAAATGTTTTCTTACCAATTTGGGCGCAGCGAGTGTAAAGCGACAGAGTTATCCGGCTTACAATGATAATACGATTGATTTGTTTGACGCTGTTGTGTTCTTTAACCCACCGCTTCCAAATGTCCTACAGAGGAGTGGTCTCAATCTAAAGAACGGAGGAAAAGTAATTATCTTGAGTGCTCATTTTGAAGGCGATGTCGTCTTTCCAGCAAAGAAGGATTTCAGTTACGAGAGAGACAATGTATTAGACGTTTTACGATCGCCGACGGCATTTGAGAACCTAAGCAGGCAAAGCATGCAAATTCTGGAAAGCAATGGAGTATCACAACAGCTTCTGGAAATGCCAGTTGAGTGTGTAGATTTTGCAGCTACACTTAAAGCTACCAATGAACTCATCGACAGAACATCATCTTTGAAAGATATAGTAACACCATCCTCGGACATTTCGTGTGTTATACAATCACTTGCAACATTTGATAGGGAACACCTTCAGGGCATCCTAGTGCTACCCCAAGGCTTAGATCAGTGTGGTTTGAAAGAAAATAAGTCCTATCTGGTTGCTGGGGGAGTGCGAGGATTTGGTTTTGAAGTGGCTCGATGGATGGCAGAAAACGGCGCAAAGTCTATAGTACTTCTCGGCCGCTCCATGCCTTCGGATTCCAAAATTCAAGAGGTGCGTCAGATTGAAAGGAGCACCGGTACAACGATCCATATAATTCAGGTACGTATTCTTAATCTCCCAGCCTATACAATAATTTTCCTGCAAAATAGAAATCCATTCATATTGGACGTTTTTTGGTTTTTGTCTTGCATTGTGTTTGTATATGCAGCATCCTAGCCTTTTGTTCAGAAACGTTTTTATGAAAATTTCCGTATTCTATGAAATTTCGATCTCAGACGTAAGAAAAAAAAAATAACAATGTGATACTTTCAACTTAATAAAGTCTATTGCCAGATTAACCCTCCTTGCTTGTGGTAACATAAACCCCTGAGACAAATACTTTCGTTTATATGTAATCGTAGCTGAACAAGTTTGAGATAAACAAATGAATTTTTTTGGCTTCGATTAAGGTGATTGTTAGAATTGATCACATACTCTGATGTAAGGCATTATTTCAATTAAGTAATGTAAAGTTTCTAGTCCATTTTCATTTTATTTTTTCATCCTGGTGGCTACATTCACCCTAAGAAACCGATCTACAAAGGCCACCTCCTTACAACGGTCACGTACTGCCACCCATAAGCCCGGGTGCGAAGGCACTCGACTGAGTTTTATTCGGGGAGGTTCTGCCCCGAGGTCCAACCCCTTACTCTTTTACACACCATTTTGGACAGAAACGTTACTCCTTCCGTTTAACCTCTTGCCTTAAACCTAACTATCCCTTTTAACCGCTGTAATTCCTCTGTCCTTTTAATATTAATAAATCACCTGACCAGGAATTAATTCAAAGTTTATTGACTTTCTTTAAGCGATAAAATGCATTTTCGGTCCTTTTACAGTCCCGTAATCTTCTCCTGATGGGCCTAAATGACAAATTGCCTTAACGTTCCATATACTTCAACAAGAAAAATCCCTACTCTAGGCTCTCCGTTTAGGCCATTACATTGAGTATCCCCAGGGTTTGTTGTTTAGGTTTCTGCTATCACTCCGCATTTCATGTTTACTTTGACGATGACCTTTTTGCAGGTGGATATATCCAATCAAAGACAAATGTCGTCTTTGAAAGACCGCCTTCAATCTCTTCCAGATGTCGCAGGCATTGTACACACTGCTATGGTTCTTAGAGACGAATTCCTCAAAGACTTGACATCACAGAGTTTTAATGAAGTTATGGGCCCAAAGATCAAAGGTAAAACTTCAAACTAAATCGGCCTATAGGTCTTACCTTTCACTGAATTATTAAGAACTTCGCAAAAATGTTATTTGCTTTCAGAACAAAATTTCAAGAAATCTAAATAGAAGTTTCGTTATTAACTACAACGTACTGAACTACATATTATTTTCCAGGACCTTTCAAACTAAAAAAAGGGGCCAACAAGAAAATCTCTCATTCCCTTTAGCCTCATGGTTCTGATGAGTTACTCTTAGATTTACCTTTTTTTCTTTCTTTAATAATTGTAATGTATATTGTATTCATATAATAGTAAATAAACGTTGGTTGATTGATTGATTGATTTAGTAATTGTCGACTACAGCAAGATGCTTAGTTTCAGTTAGGATATGTCCAAGACAACAGAAGCAGCTCTTCAAAATTTTAAATCGTTTTGGATGTTAGAACGGTTCTTCGGGCACAAACGACATTTTTTCAGTTCGGTGCAGTTTTCACTTACTTAATGTGAGAATTTGATTTTTAGGTTCTTTCTTGCTACACCAAATGAGCCTTGAGATGGATCTGGATTTTTTCGTCATGTTTTCGTCCATGGCGTCGATTGTGGGTAACATGGGACAATCCTCATACTCGGCCTGCAATGCTTTCCAAGATTCTCTTGCTCAATACCGCAGACATTTTCTCGGTCTTCCCGGGCTAGCAATAAACTGGGGACCAATCAGTGGAGCTGGTGTAATGGAAAGAGAAGCAGGGGTCGCTAGATTGCTTACGTTGGCAGGCTTGGGCTTTGTTGACGCCAAGGAAGGTAGGTTGAAACTTTCTGGAAGTGTATATAGTCTTTCAGCAAAAATATTGTTGGGGTTTTTGAATAAAAAAACATTACTACGGTTTTAAATAATTGTCACTTGGATTTCGATCAGTTTTGTGTGTCTTAAAGTTTATTGCTTGTGACCGTAATTATCTTTGAAGACAGCATAAAACGCAGTTTTTAACTTAGTTTCTAAACTTCAGAGTTCGCGTGTTATTGAAAAAGCGCAATGATTAACTACTGCGAACGTTTTAAATTATCATGACCTAGCATTCATAATCAGTCATAATTGCATGTCTTCTTAATTACAGTAGGGCTTCATTCAGGAATGGTCATTTGACTCCTCGGCATAGGTTGACTGTTTGATCAGAAGACAGATGTTAAGGCCGAATTTGCTGTACGAAAAGAAAATTGAATAAATAAAATACCAGTATTTGCAGTTACTTGACATCTGCTTTAACAACATTAGAGGCATAGTATTTATTATACTTCTTTATACTGTAGCTTTAATTTTTGGATGTATTGTCTTCCAAGGTGTTAAACACATGTTCAAAGTGTTAACTGAGGAGCCAGGTCGCTGTCAGATCACATTACTTGATGTAGACTGGCCTCGATTCTTAAAGAGCAATGAAGGGCTGAGGAAAACTCCGCGACTTTCTATCATCAGATCATCAGTAAATGTATCCAACAGTCGAACGAACTCAGCTGAGTCTTTGGCACAAAGAATTGTTTTAGAAAAGGATGGTGAGAAGAGGGCAGAGCTTATCAAAGAATACGTCAGCGTTTCAATGGCTGAATGGACTGGAAATTCTTCGACCTCAGAGACTGATCTCAATACCAGCTTGTATAGCTATGGAGTTGACTCCACCGCAGCTTTGACTTTGAAGATGCAGCTTGAAATAAATCTGCACGTTTCGTTTGAGGTACACTTTTACTCTTTGTTTTTAAGATAATTTATTAGTTGAGCTCTGCAAACCAGCATACAACTGTGAGTCATTCCTCCTAGTCTGGTTTGCAGAGCGTTGGAAGGGTGTGATAAGGCATGGTGTTTTGGTCTGAAAGTACAATGTAATGTGGATGGGAACCCTACAGCTAAGGGTAGCCTTTGCCGTTTTATTTGAAAAGCTCAAAAAAGAGAACTTCCGTTGCAGGTCTTCTACTTCATGCAGCCAGACACAACTCCCCTAAAATTGGCAAGGGACATAACTGAAAAGATGAATGAACGAAGTCAAGGCACCCTTCCATCCAAGGAACAGCCTCAAAATAGTAACAGACAAGACGATGAACATGATGAAGTATCACCCATAAATGACGTTGAAGTATCTACTATAAGTGACGTATCTAAAAGCCAAATACAAGTTGTACCGCTGTACACTCCAGAGGGCTCAGCCATAAAGTTTTTTTGTGTCCATCCGTCGCACCGTTACGCGATGAGTTTGGTGCCGATAGCAACAGGATTTCAAGGACAGGTAAACTAAGACGCTGATAAATATTTGGACAAAGTATAGAATTCAAATAAATCGTAAGTCAAAACAAAGCTATATTAGCATTAACAGGCCTATTGTATTACCTTTGTGAAAAAGTTCTCAGCTTGATAGGACACTTTATACTTCAGCCGAGTTTATTCATTTTTACGGCCTCGTCTTCACTGCTAGGACTTGGTTTCCTTCTACGCACTGGGTTACACAGACCCAGCAGCAGTGAGTGAGGATTGGGGTGGAGTGCGTGAACTTGCAGCACATTACGTTCAGTTAATAAGCAAGGAACAGCGTCATGGCCCTTACTTTTTGGGTGGATATTCATACGGAGGTCTTCTCGCCTATGAAATGGCTTCCTTGTTGACAGAACATAATCAGAGGGTGGAGTTTGTGGTGATGATTGATACCTTTCCTTGGGTTCTGCACTCACGGACTGTCAGCAGTAGACTACCTTCAATGCAAGAGTATGAAAATTTGCAGCGTCGGCATGTCGAGGTTAGTCAGTTTCTTACGGTAGATAGAGTCTATTTAAAAGTTGTTATTACATCGACAATTAATGTTTCTTGGTGATATAAAAATAAACGCTAGGTGTATTTGACAGACTCTTCAAAAACTGACTAAAAATTTAAAGGCCTAAACAAATCTTTCCGGTTATGGCGTGTCTTGATGTCTAATAGAAAACGTTTCCTTAAATAATACTGTTTTGCTTGAGAGCTAATTGCAGATAATGGATACAGTTTTTATTCGCAAATGACAATGTTTGAAAAAAATTCTCTGCTATGCCTCGTTTTCTTAATTCTCTTTGAATTTGAATTTGAATATATAAAAAATTTCATATCCTTCATGATTTGATTTAGCCACCGAGGCACCAATGGAACCTCAGGGAAGAGTGCTTGTTCGAAACAAGGCGTTTTTTCTTTATTAAGAAAAGGCTATTCAACGGCGATTCGGCCTCAGTATCGCTTTCACCAATATCAAAGATTTGGGCCATTTTCGCAAAGAGGGGCGCTTATTAACAAAGAAAAAGTCTGGGGACTGCAGCAGTTATTGGAAAGAGGGCTATAGATCGAATCATTAAGGCATTTGAATTGGGAAGAAAGGTGTTACAAGTGAGAGATTACCGCAGTTATCAAGGTCAAGCAAGGGATGTTTCCAAATAACTAGTCAGAGGTGTCTCCAATGTTTTTTGTTATGCTTTAGAGGCCTGCTTGGTTAATTTGGAGCTGCGCTAAAAACTATTTATCTGTTGTGATGTCTTTGGTCACCACTCAAAAGTGTTTTTGGTTTCTGCATTTTTCAGGCTTTCTTGAACCAGCTGCTTTTAGGGATGCGCATATAACTCCGTCTTTTATTGTTCGATGCGATGAGACTGTGTCTACCGGCATGCTTGTTTTTTAATGTTACTGTAAAAACAGCAGAATTTTAAAACTAGTTGATGACAAAGTCTAAAGAAAATTTGTAATCTTTTAGTTCCAATTTGAAAATTATCTGAGAAAACTGGCAATAGACTCACTGAAGATGACATCAGATGAATATCAAAACATGAGAGAGGAGAACACTAAAGAATGGATCGTTGATGAACTTGAAAAAAGGGGACTTGAAAGAGGTCTAGCAATCTACGACTTGAGAACACTGAGAGAATCTCTCCTGAAGGATCAAATCATCGCCAGTAGGACACATCTGGAGTGGCAGCCCGCAGAGGTAAGGGTTTGTTTTCCGTTTATTATGCTCAAAACACTGAACCAATAGCAAAAGTAGTTACTGCAACAGTTGAAAAGTTGGTCGCGGAGAGTTTTAAATATTTCTCGTTTTCAAGAAGTGCTTCAGACGACAACCCTGGAAAAAACCACTTCGGTTAGGTCCGACCAAAACATTTGTGACCACCTTTGAAGGTGATCCACTTTGACCTGTCATTTTAGTCGGTCCGAAATGTCCCTTTCCATTTCCAAAAATTTTTGTCCCCAGTACAGCTCATCTGTATCCTGTTTCGTAGTTTGCAAGTGCAATACTAAACATGCGGTGACTTTGGGTCTGGTCTGTGCAACCGGAATATACCCTTCCTTGGGCTCGTGGCAAATTTCCGAAATTTCGAACTTGAAAGATTGTTGAATGGAAAGCGCCCGCTGTAAGAGAAGCCTTTTTTGATAGTGTGCAGCCCGTCTACTGTAATTTACGCAAAGATCTTGTACGTTATAATTCCAACCATTTTAATGATTGCTCTCCCGTTTCATTTGTAAATAGGTCCGCTACCGAGGTCCACTCGCATTCCTAAAATGTCAAGATGCCTGCTTCTCGCCCAGATCATCAGATAACGTGGAAGAGATTTGGGGCCAGTTGGTTGATGATGGAATTAATCTGTTAGTTTGCCCTGGGAATCATTATTCCATGAGTGAATCGCCTAACGCCATTGTTACCGGTAGTATCTTAGCAACGGCCCTAGCATTTAAGTACCGTTTGCTGTTTCCAGAATTCCCTAGGCCCACGAGAACGTTCAGTCAGAGACGAGCTGTAGAAAAACTCTCAGGTGGAGTAGTTGTATTCCTCCACTCAAAGAAAGGTAACCAAATTTTAGTCCAATGCCAGCACAGTATAATATGTTATTCAAATGGAAGTGAAATCGGCGTATATGCCTCAGAGCGTGTCGGTACCTCGTTCCCAGGGTCCTCTCCTACGCGTCCCACGAAGCGAGATCGGGAACGAGGTCGAGCGTGTCTGCGTTCTGGCGAAGGAAAGGCACTGAAAAGTCATTAGCTCGGTTGAAAGAATTTAATGTAAGTCCATTTGATGAGCATTTATAGAATAAGATTTTAAAAATCCACATAGATAAGAAAAGAACTCATTGTAGCGGTTAAGGCCCCATTTTCCCTGCAACCCAGGTTTTGCCAAAGGCATACTCTATCTGACTATATATAAAAAGAAAGAAAAAGAAAATAAGAAAAAATCAAGGATCAAGAATCACTATCGTTCTTTCTCCTTGTGTTAACTTTACTTCACTTGCGTGTTGGGGGGAAGTGAAGTAAACGTAGGTATCACACTTTTTGTCAATGGTCATCCGGTCCAGCATTTGGGTTATATGATAGTTATACGTCTTGGTTCTGTTCTTTTCGAGTAATTGCCGTCAGGGTCTCAATAAGTAATTTACATTTCACCTACCTTTTATTCAAATATAGGACACAAAAAGCCTCATTTTGGAGAACTACATTTCAAGGAGGATGTTCACAAACTTGAATTAACATCACAAGCCGATGAAGAAGAGACTCGGGAGACAAATAAAACCAAAAAGATCATTGACTTGAAAGGTATCAGTGTTATAGATAATTATTTTTTCAATTTTGTGCGAACCAATATGGCCTTTTGATACCTTAGTTAAGCCAAGCTTCTTGTTATTGACACCATTCCCGATTGATGCACCCAAAGAGCATAGGCTATGAGTTGTTGTGCTCTCATGGCAAAATCAGGTTTTTTTTATCAGCTTGTACGTTGTCCTGTATTTGTCAAGACTCAGAAGGGAGATCGAATGGTACAGAATCCTTCACATAAAACACTTGACAAACGTTGAATGAAGAATGCGTGGATTCATGTTCTTAAATTGTTACAAAACCGTTTAAGGAGTTTTTGTAGTCTTTTCTGCGCTTCTATTCAAATGTAACCTACATTTGCAAAAAACACATGTAATTTAAAGACGTGGGAGTTTCTAATCGGCATTGCCGTCGTCTGTCACGTTTCAGGAGTCTTTTTTATAGCCGAGAAAGCCTTACGCGCTGGTTAGACCAGCGGCGTGTATTTGGGACGGTGCCATTAATTGGACAATTGAATGGCTGTTTCGATTGCACTTCTAAACTAAGCGAGTAAGTTTTTCAGCTTATATTTGTGATCATCAACTCTTACAAAGATCCTCTCTTTTAAGATCTCCTTATGGTCCAACCAGGGATGTTAGTGGCCAATGCTAGGAGGTATGCCGGCCGAAAGCGAAGAATTGGAGCATATCGCAGTGGAAACCTGAGGCAAATCGCTTCTGTTATCACAAGGAGACGTGTCTACAATTTGGAATTTACTGATTATTCGGATTTAAAATCATTCTACAATATGATCGAGGCTGTTTTTGCTGTCCAATTGTTGTCGCGCTAGATGTGGTAGAAAACGAACTTATTAAGGGCCCAAGGAAACAGCTGAGAGCGAAGCACAATGCTATTTGGATGGTCCTCAAGTGTGGTGAAAGAGTTTAAGCTTAAGGGAAGATTGCTCTCCACAGATGAACCTCTGCCTGGAGGCGTATGCCTTCCTCTTCATCATACCAAAGCGATTTTCTACTGTCTTAATTTGCTTGGAAGAATTTTTGTAGATTAAGGTACTCCAAATTGGACATTTTTTGAACTAATCTAATTTGCCTTTACAGTAAGCGAATGCAATATTTGATTCTGCTGTCTAGAGATATTCTAACTGAATATTCAGATTTACCCTGGTAATGTAAGGGAAGAAATAACCAAATAACTGAAATATAGATAAAATGAATAACTAGACAAGCATAGGAAGAATAACTGAGGAAAACGCAGCTCCCTGATAGTTCATAAATATAAACAACAACAACAAAAGCACAAAGATTAGAGGGACAAACTAGAAGAAGCAATTCGCTGAAGTACTGATAAATTAAAGAAAGGGGGTATCTGCCAGTGGACGTAAATCTAAAGTTACGACAAATGCAGATTGGAGGGTCTGAATTGGGTTAAGTGTTATTCGCCCGCAATTTTTAGTGTTTGCTGTTAAATCGGCCAATTTTTTAATGTTTACTGTTTCCGGAGAAAATACTGTTAAGTGTTTGAAGGGTTTTCGTGGAAAACCCATAGTCTTTCAGCTCTGCTCAAATCACCAGTAAACTTTGAGCCCGTGCTCAAAGGGGCAGTAGCTGTAGTCTCGTTTTTCCACCCATTCGCAACAGTATTCTGGGGAATACTGGGTACCAATCTCGTGTCAGGGGCCCACGATCCTTTGGTCAGCGTCGAGGCCGAAGGCGGCATCGAGTGGATTCTCCTCCGGTGTTGTCAAAGTTCTAGTGAGCTTCTGTATCAGCGGGGATGATTCTGCAGTTTCGAAAGGCATAGAAGCAGGGTCATTCTTGACCTTTCAAAACAATCCAGCGTGGCACCGTCAAGAAACATCTGACGAAATTTCTTGTTGGAAAACTTCAGTAGTCTTCGGACATCTTCGGAAATCTTCCGAAATGACTGGAAATCGTCGGAAAGAGGCCGAAAACGTCTTGAAATACTGAGCAAAATAACATTGCCTTGTTTGGAGCCGTTTTTGTTTCCTTCTAGATAAAATTTACTGTTACAGAGAATTGTTTTACTGTTAGTGTTAAAATGCCTAAAATTTAACTGTCTCATGTTACAAAGCCAAAAAATTAAGTGTTTAGTGTTATCGAGGTACCCCCATTCAGACCCTCAGATTGAGCTGTCACTCATTTAGTAACTGTTCTTGTTGGTTTTTGATTCGACTGAAAAAAGTTCTAAATATTTTTACCATAAAGGCTTTTTGAAACATTATTTTGAATAACGAAGTGAATAGGAAATATTAAGGAGGATGGCGTTTCTTGAACCGCTCACGGCTAGTCAGTCTCGTCCCCAAGCTCCCCAGAATAGCGAGAGTTAGGCCGGTTGTAAATAAGCCAAACAGACAGCTCATTTTCTCTTGCAGATAAGAGAGTTTTGTACTTAATCAGAAAATAAAAGTCGATTTTTACGCACGAGTTCACCTGTCAGTTATTTGACCAATCTGGGAGGAGATTGTTGAATCGTAGCCTGCGAACCGCAGACGTATTTCCGGTAGCCGAAAAAACCGGATGCTCTCGCAGGCAATTTGAATCGTATAGAATATTCCGTTTTCTCGAACAAAATCAAGGAGCACATTGAAACTGTTACATAAAATTAAATGCCATGTCTATAATGTAGCCTGCGCCACAGGCGGAATTAAACTTCTTTTTAGGTCCGCCTGCGAAACAAAACCAAAATCCTTGTTTTAGGACCCTACCTGTGTACAAGGATTTGGATACTTGAAATGATTGGCTAGCCTGCGTGTAGACGTCTCCAGGAGCCCATAACCTGACCTCTGCTATTTCCTTTCTGGCACCCGCGGAAAAGGAAAGCAAAGGAAATAAGAGACATCTGCAAGTTGGCTATGGTGAGCCTGTTTTTTTATTATTGTAGATTTGCCATGGCCAATTAGGTTGGAGGAAAATTCGAAACACATCTCCGGTACTGAATTCGTTGAGTCCGCTGGGGCCCAGAACAAGGATATCATCGCTGCTTCCCAGACGTTTTACTAACCAGTGTTAGAAAATCTGCGACGCAGGCTGTTATGAAGTTCATTTTCTCATTCTTCCGCTGTGCATTGTATATCGAGATATGAAGCACTTGAAAAGGTCAAAGAGCGGCACTCAAGTTAAGTCGCACGTGTGCCTGCCTGACGTGAAGATTGGCGCAATAGGCCACTTCCGAGTTCCAAAAACCCTCACTTCCAAAATGAGGCTAGGTGCACAACCTTTCTTGTGAAAATGAGTTTTATTTGCATGAGAATGAAAAGTGATTTCCATATCAAAGGCTGAGCACCTCCCCTCGTTTTGAAAAAGAGGCCTGGGGGAACTCGGAACTTTGACCTATTTGTTCTCAAAGTAGTGCATTTGGCTTTTGTGATGGAACTGCGTGGACTCCGTCGCTTGCGGCCTCCTACCCCGATAATGGCTCCTGCTGACACTTAAAATACAATTAAGAAAAACATGCGAGAACTGCACGAATTCACGAAAACTTTATTACGAACAATGACAGAACAAAATGTGCACCCCATTTGTGAAACAGCTGCTGGTTTTTTTGGTAAGGGAGAAGACTCAAAGAGTGAAAAGGATATGTACAATTGAGTATCATCAGCGAAAAATGAAATTGAAATGAAGTGAAATTAATTATTTTACTTTGTCATTGTTACATTTCGTGCTAAACAGTTGTTACATCATGGGTGGCGCCGGCGTAACCGTGATCCTTTCCCCTCCCACAGAGACTGCAATGAGGGACGGACCTACATAAAACAAAACTGAATGCAGTGCTGGCACTACGGCAAAGGGTTGATTTATTGTAGGCCATCATTTCAATAAATCAGCCTTTGTGTAGTGCCAGCCCTGCATTCAGTTTTGTTTTATTTTACACTTTAAGTGACGTCTCTTTAATTAGGGGGCCGACTGAGAGAAACCAGTCAGTTATATTTACGTGTTGCGTAGACCTCAGCATTCAAACAGTTTTTCGTTTTTGGACTTACATAGTTACCAAGGTTGTTCACCATTTTCATTAAAAAACAAACAAACAAATAATAATAAAAAAAAATCCCAGTCCTTTCATGAAAACAAATCCTAGGACTGGTACCTTATTCTCACTAAATCTCACGAGTATCAAATTTCGCGTTTTTTGCCTCTCGCCAAGCATCACGTCGTATATAGAACTCAGGTATTTACCAAAGCAAGGGCAATATGACCAAGTCGTCGTCGCTTTACGTATTAATCAAAAGGCTAACAAGGTGCCTTTTGATTAAAAGATAAAAGCTGTTTTTAAAGTCAGCCTGAGTCAGCCAGTGTGCATTGTTTCCCATGCATGAAAAATTTGCATACTAGAGAAACAAGCAACGGAAGTAATTTTAGTTGGCTGATTCAGCAAATGTCAATCAATCATAAAAGTGGGCGGAAGACGTTTCGTAGAAGGTTTGTATCAGGCTCTGTTTTCGTTTCGCCTTGCCTGCCGGAATGTTATTTCAAAGCGAAACGAAAATTGAGCCTGATCTGAGGTTAAGTGCTGGACCGAAGATCAAGAACTATAAGAAATCCCTGTAGCTTATTACTCGCACGTCATTGTGTGTCCATCTCGCTATGAAACTCATATCACACTTTATTCCGACAGGAGCAATTAACACAAAATATGCTTTTGTCTCCTCTAACGATAACCGAAACCTCCGTAAATACATCATCGATTTTATTGTAAAAATACAAATGTCTTTTTAAACAGAGCAACTTCAGAACACTCGGCCACTTTACTCAAATTTATTTACATTGTGTGGCCCACGACGAAACGTTTCTTTGTAACTACGACGTGAAAAAATCAAACTAAAACCAAACCAAAGTCTCCAGGTGATTTTAAGCAAAAGGCCGCCCGCGAGGAGAACGCGAGACCACAAAAATGTTGTTTTCGAAATGTAACCGCATTAGCAGAGATTCTCAGTGAACGGGTCGCAACAGTATTTTTCCAAATAAATATCAAAAAAGGCCTTCTTCCAAATAACCGGTTACGTACTGTGCTTACCAGTATCCAGGACGTACTAAAAGTGCCGGAAATGGGAATTTTGCTACGCGTGTTTTATTTGTAACGAAAAAACAAATCTTTTACTAATAAATGCCGAAAAATATAACTGGCGGAGGGTCTCCTACAAGAAAATCACCCATTAAAAAACACTGTAAGACGGACATGTAGCTTTCATAGCTCGTATACCCCTTAATTTACCAGTTATTGCGCAAGTGATTTCGTAACACCTTGGTGTCTAACTCACAGAATCACGGGCGCCCCATCTAGTGTTTCTGTTGCATGATAAAACTCACACTTAGGAGTTTAGAGCACAATAACATTACAATAACACTCGCTTACTCAAGCTAAAACATATTAACCTTTAAATTAATTTCAACTTGGTGCGCAAGTAATTTCATAATGCCGCGGTGTCTGACTCACAGAATTACGGGCGTGCCACCTAGTGTTTCTGTTGCTTTAAAAATTGCACTTAGGAGTTTAGATCACCATGGCATTACAATAACGCTCGCTTACTCGGGCTAAAACATATCAGACATATTAACCATTAATTTTCTTCTGTGCGCAAGTGTTTTCATAATACCCTGGTGTCTAACTCACGGGCGTGCCACCCAGTGTTTCTGTTGCTTTAAAAATTGCACTTAGGAGTTTAGATCACCATGGAATTACAATAACACTTGCTTACTCGAGCTAAAACATATGAGACATATTAACCATTGATTTTCTTCTGTGCGCGAGTGATTTCATTTTCCTTCAATACATAGCTTTTTCTTGACTGGAGAACGAGTTAAATAGCGGCAGCGGCGAGATTTGGTAATATTTGGCGGGCTTTGGACACGTTTTGACGGGATGACGATTTCACTATTCGACCAAATCCATTTGACCGCTTGGTCTTTGTGTTTCCTGCCTCTACTATGAAATCGTTAGGAATTTAGGCCGAGTTACTACTAACAATAGTATTTCCGCAAATCCGTCATTAAATAACGGAAATTTTTTATGTAGCTCGTTTGCACACGCTTCACATAATTGACAGCAGATCTTGCATAATAGTCACCAAAAAATTCAGTCGGATTAGAAGATCTAACGGTTTCTACAGTCAAAATGCCTACCAGACTGCCGATGAATATTACCACTTACACGTTTATCGTAATATCGTTAGGCTCAGAAACATTTTCAAGGCATAGGAAGATCGTCTTCTTCTCCTAATGTCATCTAAACCTACCCAGACGCACACACCGGTCTTTTCACTCTCCAATCTGGCCCACTCTCTAGCGATTCGCGCCTTCCGAGAGCTACTGGGGAGAGTTTACTTCGTGGCCTTTTTCGTGACGTCATATGCACTTTCAAAGATGGCGGTCGCCGTGTCAATGTTTCGATGGCTGGATTTGTTAGAGAAAGAATTTGACAAGACTTTCGTTGATCTGGACATTTTGTTAGGGGAAATTGACCCAGACCAAAGCGAAATAACTTACGATGGACGTCAAAAAATGACGCAGCTTTCGTCTAGCTTCGCACAACTCGTTCACAAGGCGCAGACAATATTTCAAGGAAACGCAAAGTTAGAGGTAGGAACCAAAGGTTGTTTATTTTTTAACAAGCTTTTTTTTGTTTTGTGTTGTCTTTTCTTTTGAAGCCATCCAGGTGATTCTTCTCCTAGATTTAATATATTGTTTTAAGAAAAGGGACGCTGTCTGTATGTACAAGGAGTCAGCAGCTTTCTGACTGTTTTTATTTGAATATTAAAAAAAGGTATTAGTGAAGCTTATTAAACACGGGATTTCTTTTTTAACCATGCCATTGTGATAAGCCCAACTTATATATTTCGCAAGACCAGAGATTACTTTTACAGTGTGGATAAAAATCAGCGTTGAATGCCAGCTTGGTCGTTTCTTTTTAATAATTTTGTGATATTCACCAACCCATGGCTAATAATTAAATTCTGTCATCTTTTTCGCACGGCACTTGAGTAATTACTGGTGTAGAATTATATATTCCTGCTAGATAGAAAAGACTTATACGAAATGCAGAATGTACTAGGAGAAATAGTGAAAATGGAGTTGTTGTAGGAAGTCTGTGTACAGGCATATATGTACTAGCTAAACTGTATTGTTATCATTGATGAAATTTTCAAAGTTCTGCCATTTTGGCCTTTGGAGTTTGCTTAAGTATTTAAAATCATGTTGGGGGAGCACATTGTTCGTGAGAAAGTGGATATTGTTGTGCTGCAGCTGTAAATTATAAATTTCATTGATTTCTGTTTTGGTTTAGTTACAGTATTGAATAAGTATTAGATCTTGTTAACACATTCTTTCAAGGGTTGTATATCCCTTGGATACAAACAAATGAAATACTTGGCAAGTTTGTATTTCTCTTGTACAGTATTATTAGGCCTTAGGTCTGATTTTTATACTGCCATGCAAAGTGGTACCAAAGGCCCGAAGCTCTCACCTATGAATTCTAGGGTGACCAGTTTATATAAGCTCATGTAAAAAACATTTCCTGAGCACCCAAGGGTGTAAGTGCTTGTGAGTTTCTAGATTAAGTTGCTAGCAGCTACCATTCCAGACTCTGTTAGAGTACTGTGTGTGAATTCTAGGAGCAGCGGAAAATGCAATGAACACCATCTTGAAATGAACAAAGTCTTGTGCATCAGTCAATTCCAGGTGTACCCATGGCCCTCCCCCCTTCCTGGCAACTGCAGGGCATTTGCCCGCCTTGTCTGTCCCGGGAGTGGGGCATTAGCAAATTTTGCACAGTCTGGGGGTTGGGTATTTGCTAACCCTGGGGCCAACCCCAAGCTTTTGGCTTGTACTTGCATCCCTATCCAAACATACATGGACGATTTTACTAAAAACACAATCACATTCAAAGATTGGCTCATCTGTCATGGACAGGAAAAACTCATAGAGGTTTTTTAAGGCATGTTGTCTTGATTTTATGCCTGCATTTCTTCATTGCTTATAAAGCCAGAAGACAGGAGCTATCGATGTGAATCAACACAAAAACCATAAAAATCATTGTTTCTTCATGGAATGACATTTCTGTTGACCTAGGAATTGAATCAGTTTACACTGAAACACACCACTCAACTATGTGGTCAATGAAAATTGCTGCAGTGTTAATTGAGGACGGGGCATTTTCCTTTTTTTTTTCATCCTCGCTGGGTATTTGCCATCCAAGGCCAAAACGAAAATGCTGATGCCTGGGTGTTAGCCCAGGGTAGGGGAAGGGATGGGGTTGTTTGCATTGTTCCACTTGGAATTGACTGATGCATTATACAGTCTCTCATCATGATCTAACGACCATTGCAAACACCTGCTTGGGAATATGTGGTCTTTAGTGGGGAAGAAAATCCAAGTTGGGGATACTTAAACTAGAGGATTTAATATATTTAGACAGTGCTCTTTTTATGCATGATTAAGAAGCCGTAGGATTTCAAGGTAGCAATAGTTTCCACTACCATGTCATTACTGTGATCTTAAAACAACAAAACTGAAAAATAGTTTCCCAGTGACATGTCCTGATATATTCAGACTGAGGGAACAAAATACACAAATATAATATTTTTCCACTCGGAGTCTTAACTAGTACAACAATTCTTTATGACTCAGCTTGTGTATAAACAAAATTTTAAAAAAATGCTACTGTTTTTCTATTGTCCACCATCTTGAATCGTTCCCAAAGTGCATTGTATGTTACTGATGACTCACACATTAAAGATGTTTTACAGTTAGCAGCAACGATTGTTATGGCTTCCAGTGCCAAGACAAAAGTATATGACTCCAAAAGTTTAAAAACAATTTGAATGAAGTCTTTGAGTGACAATTTCACTGTTGAAACTGATGATGAGGCCCGAATCTCTTTACGAAAAGACAAGATCTGTAATGAACATTTCAAGTGACTATACTTCCTTCTTTAGTTGAATTGAAGAGGAGTCTTGACACTGAAGTGCTCAAAAAAAGTGTTAAAACACTTTCTTGACCTTCTTCTGACATTTTAATAGACATTGAAGTTTTTTCGAATAATTAGTACACACTGATGTTCTTTGATTAACAACATTTAACAACATGTTTCCAGAAAACAGATACTGTTACTGTACTTGAAAAGAAATAAAAGGGGGTTCCCTTGAATTTTCATGGGACCAAAAATTTGCTACCGATAGTTTCCCATGATCTTTCAGTGTGGAACCGAAAAATTGTTATCCTTGGGATTTGAAATCCTAGGGCTTGATTACTATTCAAATACACTTCCAAGTACTTTCAATAATTTCTTTAAAAGCATTAATAAGGTACATCAATATGCAACCAGACTGGCCTCTAAGAAGTCTCATTATTTACCGAAAGCTAGGACGAATTATGGAAAATTTATATACATTTCAATGGGGTAAACTCTGAAATGCTATGAAAGAAGATCTACATGCAAAATCAGCGAGTCGTTTTTAAAAGCTTTTAAAAGAATCTGTCCTCTCCAAATATTGATCGGTGTACTTTATATGCCGCTAATTGTGTGCAAAGCCGTTGTTTTGGCTTGCCTCTTTGTTTATTCGTTTGTGTATTTGTTTATTTATTACAGCTTATATATTTTTTCTTTGTGTGTTTTTGTGTGCATTTGTTTATTTATAACTACTTTGATACTGCCCAGCCACTCAGCGCGATTAGCTTTTGCTATTTCTGAGTGGCTGTGCTCTCTTTTTTTCACAATTATTTCCTCTTAATGTCTTTACACTTTTTGTATCAAGAGCACAATAACGATTGTTGTTGTTGTTGTAGTAGATGAAACTATGTTCTTGAGCAATGATTTTCAGTAGTTGCAGTTCTGTATTGATCTCAGGTTTTGCTATATTTATTTACTTTTATTTTTTATTTTATTTTTACTCCGTCCTATAATACATTAGTTGTACAATAATACAATAGTAATTTGTACAATATCAATAATACATTAGTTGTACAATATCAATCGGTACAAAGTTGATTAAACTACGTGTACATAATAATAAAAAAAAGAAGAAAACTAGAATGGAGAAGGGCACATTATAGTAAAACTTATCATGGCCCTTTAACAAGATTGACTTTATTCTTTTGTAGTTTTGTTATTTATTAAAACACAAACAAGCACGCACGCACACACACACGCACACAAGCCAATATTGAGCAAGATAATATTTTTAAGTGCCTTTTTGAACAGGATTTTCGATGTTTTATTGTGCTATATTACTTTGTACATGTACACTGTAAATTGTATGAATAATAATGATTAAATCAATTAGAAGAAATTCCTTGTATTTATCATTTTCACTCTTATTTCTTTTGAAGGCTGAATTGGTTGCCCTTAGGCATGACCTGGTGGAAGAAAGAGCTGCTAAACAAGTGTTGGAGAAGGAAGTTAACAATCTGCTACTTCAGCTGCATGCTGTTCAGCTCCAGCTACATTCTAATGCTGGGATGCCTTTAGACTCAGAAAATATAAAGAACAAGCTAGTAAGTAGAACGTTGGCATCTTTGAACGTTGGCATCTTTGATTTGCAGTTGTCTGTACAATGAGCTGAGCTTAAGGGGTAATTTTATTTTGAACCTCTACACACAACGGACATCTTTGGAACAGTATGTGGTACACCTGTAGCTGTTGTATGGAGGTGGCCTTAGTATAGAGGTAGGGACTACAGCGGAAGTGTGATTAGTGGATAGAGGAAAAAAAGATTTTAAACTTTGATGGCTACTGTGTGAATCTGTATGGCAATTGACTTAGGGCCTTTCTACACAAGCAGACAAATTTTGGAATTGTCTTTGAAACATCTACATTTGTGCATGTATTCATGTATACTGTATACATGTATACATTTGTACATGTATTCATTTTATTCTTAACAGACTGTCACATCTGTCGTTACTTAATGGGAAAAAATAATGGTTTTCTTTGTGTTTTCTTTATGAATTATTAATGAGTTTGAAAAGCTAGTTTACAGGTCTGTAATTGTTTTCCAGTGGCCTTAAATCCTTGATCAGTGAAAGTTTTTTTGCTCTGGAGATCCTTGAAAACCTCAAACCCCAAATCCTCAGCTCTCTTGATTTCTTTTTCATCTAATTGAGAGTTAGTGACAGCTCTGAGAACCAATAGAGAGCTGAAGCAGCAATGACAGCAACAGCAACGGCAACAAGAATTTATGGCAAAAAAGCATTAGGTTCAAATAAGCAAAACAACAACTTTATGCGTGCATCACGTTTCTTGTACATTTCTTTGCTATCACTTCACTGTGAAACTACCTATATTGAATTGCATGTTTTATGGAGGATGTGAATGCGAGACAATGACTCTCTTTTCCCTTTCATGAACTTGGAAACAGTCTTTTAGTATACAACGCTAGAAGCATTTGCCAACATTTGATGAATTGAGCAAGATGGGATTAAGTGTGATAAAGTTTGAAGCAGTGTCTATTCACTTTTTAAGTGACATTTTTGTAGCTGTTGCTGTAGTTGTTACTTAAGCTCCCCAATGACTCACTTTACTCCACCAGTAGTGTCAGTGTTGAATACAAGAACAATACATCTGTTCTTTACTTGTTTTTAGGAAAATGAGATGATGAGATATAAGACTGATGCCATGAAAGAAGCTCGTATGGAATGTCAAATTAAACAAATAGAGAAAGAAAATGTAGGGTTGAGGAACCACATCTTTTCACTTCAGGGTGAAGTGTATGGAGCAAGACTCGCTGCAAAGTATCTTGATAAAGAATTAGCTGGAAGGTAATGTATGTATAGTAAAGGCATGCATAAACTAAGTGAGTTGTGATTATCATAATACTTATTGTGATAGTACTTTTTTCATAAGAGTTAAACTACTGTATACAGCTACCAATTCATATATAATTTACATGTAAAGTGTAAATTTGATATATGATACATAAGGCTGAGATTTTACTTATTAAAATAAGTCATGTATTTGCATTTTTTGATACACTGTATAGATTAAAGTTAGATGAAGATAAATATTTAATAACAGTTATTATTATTCATTCAAAATATTTCTCCGATTCTGATTGGCTAAAATCACATGTTTAATTCACCATAACCAGTTACTAATGACCAAATTTGAAAGAATTTTGTGTTTAACAAGGAAATGATGTCAAAAATGCAGCGTTTTCGCAGGTTAAGGCACGGCTAACTGAGAAGACCTGGGGACGAGGTTGTGTTATTTTTGGCAGACGAACATCACTCCTCAAAATTTTGAGGGCAACTGGTAGTTGTGTGTTATGACTGTGTTACTTTTGGAACCAATGAGGTCAACTTATTATTAAAAAAAGAATATAGTATCATGGGTGACATATAACTTCTTAATCTTGGTGCGAAATCTCAGTGTTTATTTGATACAATTTGTACATGCAAAAAACGCATGATTGTGAGCATAATTGTCACCTATGATATTAATATCTAATTATAATACTTGTGAAATTAGGGAATAATTTCACATGCATTTTGTCGTAATCCTGGACAAAATGCACTTGAAATTATTTCCTAATTTTACTTTCACTCTTCACCATTTGGTTATGCATATTTAACAGTTAATGAATGAGGCTGAGTATCTTATGAAGAATTATGGAGATCGAGGAGGGTGTTGTCTGTCGAGGCCGTAGGCCGAGGTGGATAACACCCTCCGAGATCTCCATAATTCTTCATATGATACGACAGCCGAATTAAATAATTGTTTTATTATTCATTCAAAATGATTCCCAGTTTAAAAACATAGCTAAAACATGCTTTCCTCCATCGATCCATCAATGTTCAGTTCACATCTTCGATAGTGTACGTTTAGGTTTGTCCAGCTCTGCAAATATTCTCCAAATAGCAGATGTCGAGTTGTCTTCTTGCTGTTCTTCCCATGTTTTTAGCTATTTTTTCGCCTAGTTCTTACTCTTGAAACGAGTGAAATGTCCGCCATTTTTTCAAGTTCACAACCAAAACAACTCAACCTCGTCCCCAGGTCTTCTCGGTTAATGGTGCCTTAACCTGGGAAAACGCTGCATTTTTGACGTCATTTCCTTGTTAAAGTCAAAATTCTTCCAAATTTGGTCATCAGTAGCTGGTTATAGTGAATTAAATGTGTGCTTTTAGCCAATCAGAATCAGGGAAATATTTTGAATGAATAATAATATTGTTTAATAGTAAGGAGTCTACACAGACGATATTACATGTATGTGGCTGCTCAGAGATACAAAATTTTTCTTTGAGTGTTGGAAAATATATCAGCAGGAAGCAGCGTGCAAAGAAAGTCATGTCCGATAGCCGGGGCTAGTGGATTTTGCTATCGGGCTGGTGAATTCTGTTTCTAACTTGCCCAACGGGCAAGTGATGTCTTTTGAGGAATTCAAATAACAGAAGAACTGTGAAATCAATTCTGTGAGTCAAAATTAAAAAGTTTTTGGAGCTAGTTGAAATGACGTCTGGACTAGTATATGCTAGCTTCAGCTTGCTTGAATGGCAAGTTGTAAAATGATTTTCTTTGCACCCTGAGGAAGAGAAATTTAATATTTACCATGTAATGCTATATAAATTTATTATCTCAATTACAAATGAAATACCAAACCATTTCAGTTCAATGTATATATTTTTTTGCTGCAAAAGGTGCAATTTATCTTTGAGCCACAGCAACAGAGGTCTTTTCACATGTGAAGATAACATGTTATTTTCGTGTTCAAAGATATCAAACTTTTTGCACCAAAGCCCCCCTGGTATTTATTGGTGCTTTTAATAACTATAAATAATAATTATGCACTGTTATTTTTCAGAATACAACAAATTCAGCTGCTTGGCCGTGACATGAGGGGCAGTGAACATGACCAACTGTGGAATCAAATTGAGGCTGAAATTCATCTGCACAGACACAAAACTGTCATCAGAGCATGTAGAGGGAGGAAAGATCCTAACAATAAGACACCAGCCCCGCCACCACCTAAACCTGAAGAATTAGAAAGTGAAGAGGATGCTGAAAGTAAAGCAAGAAAAAGAAGAGGCATCGGTGAACCAAGGACAGTGGTGATTCATAAAGAAAAAACAGAGGGACTAGGAATATCAATAACGGTGAGTATCATCACTTGGGTATAATGTTTTTTTTTTGTCAGTTGTGTTGTCTACCCCTTGTCTTAAATGGAGAACCAAAGATTTTGTCTGAAACGCTGGGTCAGGGTTTGATGGCTTGAGCTTCATCACCTTACCCAAGCTTTCATGAAGTGCCACCCCCTCCCCTCTCTTTCTTAATTGTGTCAATAATGAAATTCTTGAGAGTGATTTTTTCTCAACAGTCCTTATTTATTGCTAACTTTAGCTTATGTATACAATGTACACTGTATGATAGTTTCATATTTAATTAAAATATTCCAACAGTTTCTCCCAATCTTGTAAGCCATGTTTTTGCTTTGGTGTAATACATTGTACAGTTGTAAGAACTTTGTACTTTAACGAATTAAATGCTATTTCAATCCTGAGCTTTTCGTTATTGACACAGTGAATTGGTACAAATATGTAATAGGATTTTGTGTTGTACAATTCATGATAATGGGGGTTGAAATTTCAATTCTTCCTCGTGGTACATGCTTGGCTGATTTGAAGTTACATGTACTTGCCATGAATCATACATCATGGCTGGTACTCCAGTCAGTCCTGTAACCATTACTTATTATGTGAAAGGTTTGAACCCAGGAGTCATTTCAAAAGTAGGTTTAGTTTGATCGTCCAGGTGAACGTAGTCTTGAATAGGGCTGTTGTTGCATGTTGACAGTGACTGACGTTGTGACAGCCTTTGCGTTAGTCATCTTCAGAGTCAAAGTGAGTTGTATCACGTCAGTTGATGGTATTATACTCTGGTTATTGATCTGATTGGTCAATTACATCACGATGTTATTGGTTGTCTGTCAGTTAAGCCATGATGTTATTGGCTATGAAGACTCTCAATCAGTAATTGGTACATTTCGATCCATCTGTTGTCACAGTTAAACAGTCATCTATTGTTAGTCAAATTGTCAGTTCTCCAGTCGTTCTCTCGTAGTTAGTTTTGCTTGATCTCATCAATTATCCATTAATTATCCAAGCTAGTTCCCCTTTGATGTCTTATTCCTTCTTCACTTATTTTTCTCTTCTTTCTTAACTTCTAATAAGTGAAGAAGGAATAAGACATCAAAGGGGAACTAGCCAGGCACATTTTCAATAATATTGTTAGTTGTAGGTTTTTGAAATAAACTTGCACGTACCATTCCCAAAACCATAAAGTTGTTTGATACTGCTTCTAGGGTGGGAAGGAACATGGTGTACCCATCATTGTATCTGAGATTCATGAAGGTTTGCCCGTGGACAGATCAGGAGGACTATATGTAGGTGATGCTATACTAGCAGTTAATGGAATTGATCTACAAGAAGCTAAACACAGTGAGGCTGTGAAAGTCTTATCTGCAGTGCATGGTGAAATTACACTTGAGGTACTCTATGTTGCACCAGATGATTCTAGTGATGATGAGGACACATGGGAAGAGGATGAAACACAAAGGTAAATAAATAGAGGTTATTACATGGCAGTGCGATAACACTCGAAGAGAAATTTCTTATCTCCAAGTGGCCGTGTAATGTTCTATTTATTACATATATAAACACCAATGAAATACCAAACTATTTCACTTTAATTTTTTTGCAGTGAAAGTTGCAATTTTTCATGTTGCCATAGCAACTATGATCTTTTCAGCTGTGATGATAACATGTTATTTTCACCTGTGGAAGTTTATGTGGTGTTTCATTGGTGTTTATGTAATAAGAAGTATTCTTAGTTTAATCAATTAATTTATGATAATTTGCCACTTAAGAAACAAGAAGGAAACTGGAGCCAAAATGTGTCCTGCAATTGTTTCTGGGATTGTTATTGGAGACGCGCTGGTCAGATATTGGCCAATGTTGTTTCCCTGTCCCTAGTACAGTCCCAGGCCCAGTCTGGCTTGGTTTGTAAGCAGACATGTATGTGAGTGATTAAATGATTAAACAAAATCAGACAACTGCATAGTGAGAGTCAGATTTGTTTAATTATGACATTATTACAGACAGACAAAGTCTTGTTACAATAGATCAGAACTAACAAAATCTGTAAGATTTCTATTGTGGTAAAAGCACTAGATCTCCCAAGATTTTTTGGTAGACTGGAAAAAATGAAGAACTCCTTATGGCTCTGCTGCTTCCTCCACTCGAAATGAAGAGCTTTCTTGTAGGCTAATCAAACAGTTCAAATCAACTTCTTATTTCACTCTGTCACACAAAACTGATAATTTTTAAAATAATAATAATATAATAATAATATATTATTATATGTCCAAATAATTTACAAGTTCAATATTATTAAAGATTTACAAGGGAAAAAAGAGGAGAGGGAAAAGAAGCGGTGTTAAATACTCGTTGTTTGTGGTGAGTTTGGGACACCGAAATAGTTAATAAGCCTTATCGAGTGGATGTCATAAAATAAATGTGAGATGAAGGAATAAACAGTTACAGAACATTGGCTATGGTATTCAATAATTAGTTAACTTTGACACAAACTGCTTTAAGAGTAAATGACACTATTATACCTGTCAATCATGGACAATAGCGCTGAAAATAAGACATAATTATTGCGGAAGATATTTCACCAATTTCAAGGTGTTTGATATTGTGATAAAACATTCTGTCTCGTGTTTTTAGCGCTGCGACTTGATGACGTAATGTTTTAAGGCTACATGCCGACTGATTCTGTTTTAATTTGAAGGTACAGTATGCTGGGCAAAGTAGAAGATCCTGCTAATGAACTTTCTAATGGCGATATCTACATGACAAACTCAAAAAGAGATCCTTCATCACACTCTACACAAAATACTACTGGCAATAATAATCCACATCGGAGGTAATGTTAAATGATAACTCTCACCTTTTTGGTGGTCTTTTGCTGACACCGTGTGTAACGTTCATCTGTAACTGAATCGAGGGAAGTACTGGCAGTCAGGGAAATAGCAAAGAATAACTGCTGGTGTCCAATGAAGTCCCATAAAGTTGTCACTGAATGCTCTAACTACATACATCCAAACTTCATTGCGAAGTCACCTTAGAGACAATTAATTGCTTACTGTAAGTGAACAGAGATAGTTAGATGTAGCCCAAAACAGGAAGTGACTTCGTATCCTTGGACTGCTGCACTTTCTTCCTCGGTTGTTTCCTCCCTCCCCCCCTCCCCCCCTCCCCCCCTTCCCCCGCAGCCAGAATTTATTTGAAAGGCTATTAAAAGCCATAAAATGNCCCCCCTCTCTAGCCCTGCCTAGCTGTCGTTTTTGTTGGGGATAGCGTGAGCGAAAACGGGCTCTGGAACTGACAACGGGAAACCGCGGTTTCGCCGCTTATATTTGCGCGCTCACCCGCCAATACCTTTAGCTACGCATGATATCTCCGTACAGCCCGATCGTCCTCTTCCTCTTCCTATTTAATTGTTTCTCCAGTCTCTACTCTTTTTGCCCTTTGTCTGTTCCTACGCCCTCCATCAAAACCGCTGTCATAAAATTTAATGTCTTTTTGACCTTCTTTTTAGACCTATTTTACATATGGCATGTTTTTTTGTATTTATTATTATTTTTTTGCCCTGTGTACGGTGTAGATACATCTAGATCACTCGCAATCTATCTGGACAATACCGCTAACACTACATTTTATTTGATTTACATATTGGGCAAACGTTTCAGACTAACAGCAAATGGAATATGTCATTGCCGCTAATGGGCTAAGACCACAGGAAACGCAAACGCTCTATTAGCTACATCATAATCTGTTGTAATTTACCTGTGTTTCCGAGTCTTTATGAGTCGTTTTGGAAGGGATTTGAATCTGCTCATTCAGCGTTGACCGTCCCGTCCTATTCAGGACGCGTCATACAAGATTAAACATCTGAAACCGGGCAAATTCAAATCCCTTCCAACACAACTCGTAAAGACTCGAGAACACAGGTAAATAACAACAGATTACGATGCAGCTTATACAGCATTTGGGTTCCCTGTGGTTTTACCGTTATCTAATCAGTTTTGATGTCATTTTTGTTTGCGGCAGCCCTCCGACCTCACCTCGATCGCTTTATTCTCATCCTGGCGCCGCCCAACCAGTCAGCGCCAGCGCAGCTCCTGAATCACCGAAAAAATACACCAATCCAGCGACAATTCCAGGCACATTTTCAACGACAGTTGATAGCAGAGGGAGTAACTCAAATTTGTCCTCAAGATCGAGCTCACAGTCTTCATTATCACTAGCATCATCTCTATCACCTCAGCAAGCTGGAACCTTAAATGTCGGACGATTGGAACCTTTGTTACAAGCACCATCTGAAAGCAATGATGCCAGCTCCGAACTTTTTTCACCTACAACGTGACACTATGTCGTCTGCGCGTTTATAGCCTTCTATATAGCCTACCGTACCCTCTCCTGGGGGAAAAACGGAACTGCAAAAGGTTCCCCCCCCCCCCAGCGGAGAAGACGGAACTGAAAAAGTTTTGCCGGGGGGTAATGGGAGGTCTGCCCGTGGGCTACCTCTTAAAGAGTAATTTTATTGTTCTTCAATTGTTGCGTGACGAGGAAGGATGGCGTGATAAGGCCGACTAAGTTATGGCTGCGGTGGAGGCTATTTACGTACCCCAGGCTCCCCCGCGGAGAAGACGGAACTGGAAAAGTTTTCTCCGTGGGGTAAGAGTACGGCCACACGTAGACTACCTTTAATAGAGTAATGTGATTGTCCTTCAATCGTTGCGTGACAAGGCAACTAATTCATGGCTCAGTGTGGGCAACAAATAATTGACCGTAAATCAGACATGTAAAAAAGAAATATATTTATTCTTGGTCTTTGTTATTCTGTTATAGAAGGAAATTGAACATTACAATTTTATTGAAGGCGTTCTTGGGTATACACGCTCATCATCAATCGAATTACCTTGATCACGTAGATAAGTCTGCTACGTCAAAGCTTATGGAATATATCAAAAGATTGTTATTATGAAGCGCACCATAAAATATAAAAATATCCGTAAAATTGTTGTATGTTGCCGCGTGATAAACTCGCTGCTTCTCAGGCTCCTTAAATTGAGGAGAACTAAGTGAACAATTGTGTGCTAGCTAAGGGGCACACTTGTAAAGTCCTTTCAAATGGGTGAGTTGACTTTTGTCTTTTTCAAAACATGGTTTTGTTAAGAAACAAACAAAACAACATAACCCTCGGAAAAAAAAATGCGAAACCAAAATAAAGAATGATAGATAGCATTGCAAAAGGGAGTTATCTTGCATTGTTATGCTTTGTGATTCGCTTTAAAAGGAATATAGCACTTTCTCGACAGTCACAAGTGAGCAGCATTATTCGTAATCGCTTGTAAGTATTGTAGCTCTTGAAGACGGTCAAAGTATTTTCTTCGAATCGTGATTGGTTAATTTTAATGTCAGGGCTTGTTATGATTGCCAATTACTTTTATTTTGGTTTTACAATTACGCTCATTTAAAATGCAAGATGTTTTAGTTTCTTTCTCGACGAAACCAAACGTTACGAAGAAACTAGATAAACTTAATCACTTATGAAGTGCTGTTACTTTTAAAAATTATTTGGTTTTTTGTTATGGCGAGGGACCGTGGAATAATGTCACTAGAAAATTGTGGCTAATACTTGTAGATTTAAAGCGGAGGTTTTGGCAGATGTATATTTTTAGAAATAGTTGAAACTAATAGTGAAAGCAATTAAAATTCTCAATTGTTGAATAAACCAATAAGTAGAAATTTAGTTTTGCTCTTACTCAGCTATGAGTGTATTTTAAGGAAAAACAAAAAAAACCTTACACGTTACCTTAAACTGCCACTTGTACACCCCCTCCCCCCCCAGTTATTGCCTCATTTGACTATGAAAAAAATCCTATTATCAGCCCTCCTTCAAATACATTAAAATGAATTGGATTTTCTATGGTGCAAAACACTACTATCGCTCGTTTCGAAGCGCCTTTCCTATTCTAAAACACTTGAGAAGGCAAAACCACAACGACAAACGAGTGAGGGTCAGCCACTCTTTAGTAGACCTGGATCAGTAACATCATCAGTACCAAATTTGAAAATTAAAACTGTAAACTGATCCTTACGGCAGGAAGAATGATAGAAGCAATGAATAAACAAAAAAATTAAACGGTAAATTATATTTGCCCGATATTTCGATTTCCAACACCAACAACATTCAAGGAGGGCTTCATTTTTCTTTTTAGCGCCCTTGAAGGTTTGCGTTACAATCGATATTTCGGGCAAATATAATTTACCATCATATTTTTGTTTTCCTTATTCATTTTTCTATCACTCTTCCTGCCGTAAGGATTAGTTTACAGTTTTAATTTGGTACTTTCTTATTCCGGTTTATATAATCACAATAATTGGTACCCTGCGCGCCCCTAGGGTCTCCTGAGGCTTCGATATTCCAAGATATGTCTGGAAGAGGAAGGAGGCCTCAGATGACGGGCCTCGACATTAGTTGCTTTATACAGTATCCAGAAAAAATAGCTTCATATAGACATGGAATTGATGCGTTTTACGAGATTAAAAGCAAATCCCAAGACCCTCAGTCTTCAATTCTTTTTTTTTTTTTTGGAAGTTTCCTTCGCATGATTTGACTTAAAGAAAAGTCAGAAGATGCAGGCACATGACAAGATTTACAGTTCATAATCTACTTTTGTGTAACAACATCAGAGATGAAATCGGGTGTTTAGTTCTATGTAACATATAGTAAACATCCGCGAATTAGCACCCACGTTTTTAAAGTCTGGCAAAATAGGTTCTTTTATTTATGGGCTACTTCTTGGCAAGGCTAAGTAGGTTCTTTTCAAATTATTATGAAGGAGAGTATTAGATTGTTGATTACCAGAAAAGAAATAAACTTGGGTTTGGTCCTTGAAAATACGGTATAATTTATTCACAACTGTGTTATTAGAACCCCAACAAAACAGATTACCGAATTTATTAAGAGCTTGGTAAGGTATGTTCTTGTTACACTGATTTACAATTTCAAAGTTACACTCCTTGGTTGATAAATTATTTATCATATTTTAATTGTAACTCACATAATAAAAATTATAAGAAACTGCTTGATCTTGCTTGGCTAAATAGATTCTTGTATCGTTAGGTATTAAAGTGGCTAATATCTGCCAGGAGGTTCTTATATATTAATCTACCAGGTTCTAATTCGCGAGTGTTTACTCTATACATAGTCCGTTTCACTGGTTTCAGTGATAAGCGCCTCGCCTGATTTTCACCTGACTTCAGGTCGACAGAACATCAACGACTCAGTAAAAGACCTAAAGAAATGCAGTGCTATCAACAGTGTGATTTTGGACTCACTAACCTTCACAAGAGAAGCTTTACCTGAAAACTCAGCCAAAATGCCTGCATCAGGAAAGGTAATTCAATATCTCCTAAGGTTGTTTCAAAAACCTTTACAATAATTATTTCTCCGAGATATTCTACTTCTCCTCGAAATGATGAGTGTCCATCATATATAGCAAACTTTGAATCAGATTTCACAATCTCGGTATAGTGAAACTTGGCTTGAACGAAACAATATATATCAGCGGACTTGTGTTGGGGCAGTTTGCAGATTGTGCATGGTAGAAATGAAATAATTGTCTCTTTTGGTGGGGAAGGGAGCTTTTGTTATTTCTGAATTTGTTTTGAAGTCAGTATTTCGACGGTTCGTTATTTCAAGAAAAAACGTTGTGTAGAACAAATTAATAGTAATGATAATAAAGAATCTTATAATGTTTTCAGAAAATTGTGCAAAGCGAAGAACTCAGACGTCAGATAAATGCGGGTCTGCGAAAAGATGATGACCATGAAGGTAAAGGTTAAATATTCTTTTGCATATTTTTCACATGCAGAAACAACTCAACACAGTGAGCTCCGAGGCTGAAGGTAATAAATCAAAAGAAATGGATTATTAATCCCTGAATCTAAAGGTCAATGATGCTATTTCTTTTCTCTTTTTCCTCACGCCATGGAGCTAAGTACAATTTTTAATAATTTGAAACAGTATTACCGAGTCAACCCCCGTTATTGTGGACACCCCCCGGGACCCCCATTTAGTGTCCCTTAATAAATAGTGAGAATCCGTAGTAACGGGGTGCGAGAAAGAATTTTTTGATATTAAAGGAATTACTGTATATTGTCTCCAATGACCAATTGCGGTGCGGCAGTTTTTGCATATAATGAGCGTCAAAACTTTATTTACTTTATAAACACGTCAGCCAGCTTTGGTTGCTCTGAGTAGGCGACATAAGTGGTACTCGAGTAGTACTTTGTCACCAAGAATACTAAATTGATGAGCAACGATGGAATGCCCTTTCGTAATCAAAAAATACTGAAATACTTTCTTTGAACAGTTTCTTAAAAGTCCTTAAACAAAGGCGAACAGAAAAAGAGGAGGAATGATACATTATAATTTGAGATAATTCAAACTTATTGTTGCTAAGAGCAGATCGATGTCCGTTATAGTTAGAACAATAAAATTGTGCTCTCGGGACCGAGAAAAGTGTCCGTAATTCCCTAATGGCGAGACTCCCGTGATAAAGGGAGTTTTAGGGGGTTTAGCAGCTGCAGGTCAGTATTAGCGGGGTGTCAGTAATAGCGAGCTGCCTGCAAGGCGAGAGTCATCAGACACCTCGGCGTTTTTCGCACAGATGCAAGCGCGAAATGCGAGTGACACGCGAGTGTAGCGCGCAAATTTTCACCGAGAGAGAGATAGATGTTTGTTGGTACGAGGCAGATCCGCGTAAAGTGAACGCGAAAGTAAAGAATTAGCCGGGTAGAAACAAATTATTCGCCAGGTATCGGGGTGGCTAAATTATCACTGAGTAGACTACTGAATTAGACCACTGGGTAGGGTTTCACTGGGTCTGTTACAGAGGGGGAATTTTCTCTCCTTGGCGAGTTTACCCGGCTGACGGAGCCAAAGTGTTTATATGGATAAACTTTGGCCCCGCTAGAAGTGTGAACCCACCACAGAGCGCCCATACAATCTGTTTGTGTAACCGATGTAATTTTATGGCAAATGTATTGTATTTACAGTTTGCTTCATCTGTAGTGGTATATCGCTAAATGTGTACATGTATCAAAGCTAAACAAAGATTGTTACCAACATTGTTACTTTACCTTTCGGTGAATTGTCGTCCTTTTGCCTCAGAAGTGGTAGTTTGAGCGATTTTCTGGATTTTGGGCATGTGTGAATAGCTTCGAGAAATCGCCAACGCAAATTTTGCAGCTGGGTCCAAACCTGGACATAAGTGAGTTGATGGGGATAACTTAAGCCGTTTGCGGGAAAGATGTATTTTATAAGCATGCGATGTCGGGTGCCCTTGTTGCTGG